GTAAGAAAAACGTAAAGTCCAAATACACAACAATGATCTGTTAAAAGGGAAAGGAGAGGAAAGGGAATAAAATAAGGATGTCTTGACAAGAGCAATATTTGACCCAAGAGCTAAATACTTGGTCGATACTGACTCTGATCATTAATAAGTCTGTTCTAAAAATGTTGTACTGATGGTATTAAAGCTAAGGGTGAAATTCACTTTGGAGTACTATTACGGGTCCCAAGGGCAAATCCTGAATCTTGCGCAGGCACCTGTCGCATAATTCGTCTCTAAGTGTCAATTTGGCAAAAAGCTGAGATACTCTTTGCAATCATAGGCAACTCAAGTTGCTTACATAAGCGCCACGCGCTTAATCGTTTATTACAGCTCGTACCGACAAAAAGGGTATCAGAATACTGCTGACTACTGCCTTTGTATTTAGTTCCAGGCGATATTTACCTTTGGTTTGGCATCTGATCATTCACAGTAGCTTGGTTGCCTATCACACAAGTCTGCGGGCTTGTCACTTGGTTAAATGTCTGATGTAAGTGATACTCTGAAACAAGAGTCATAAAATATTTAAAATGTATCCCACCACCTTCTAGAAAACATTAATTTCGTAACCGATAAAACTCTTTGTGATACCCCACGCAACCGAAACGTTTTATTATGAAACAAATATCTTTTTTCATTCGTCTGACGGAAATAATTATCCTCACGTTGTGAGAAACTACTATAAATTTTTACCAGCTGATGAAAAAAAAGTACTTGTAGGAAGACTAAAGGTGTAGGAAGACATGCCATCAGGATCTCTCTGAAATTATCTATATATTTCTCCCTAAAGTTTTTAAAAGTATTTTTTAAATAGTTTAGAGCCTGTTTAAAAGTGTTATTAGTATTATTATTGTTCCAGGAAAAATGCTCGCATAATCTTCGTATTTGTTACCGCTATTGAAGGAACACGGGACACTTTTTCTAGGTCCCAAATCCGGGCTTAACCTTATTCAGGGAACACATTATAGCATTTAAAAAGTGACTGACCACAAAAATCGCTGATAAGTCAGTTATCATCGAATATCGGTCATACAAACATTATTCAAAGCAGGAATTTGTGAATGACTTGAAAGAAATTGACTGGAACCAAGCTCTAAACAAGCAGGACATTGACTCCGCGGTAAATGATTGGAACAATCTTTTTACTCATGTTGCCGATAGTCATGCTCCGATGAGGAAATCAAGAATTAAAGGGGTCCGTTCTCCCTGGATAAACGCACAGCTATCTGAAGCTATGCACCAACGAGATTATTACCATCGTAAAGCCCTGAAAACAAAGTCTGCCAATCATTGGTCACGCTATAAGGAACTTAAGAACTACGTAAATAAGGAGACAAAGAGATGTAAATCGGAATACTATTCTAAGCTTATTACCGAAAACAAATCTAATCCAAGTGCATTATGGAAAACTCTAAACGACATAACATCTCGCAAAGAAAGAACTCCCATCTCCTGCATTGAGGCCGACGGTGTTCAATACTCCAGCAATAAATCTATCGCCAAGATTCTGAATGAACACTTTTCAACAATTGGGAACTAAATTGGCGCAAAAGCTCAAGTCTTGTGGATCCCACATGTACTCGGCGCCTCCGGTAAACTCGAATCTACCCCATGAATTTGCTTTCGAGCCAATTACGGAAGACTTCGTTCTTCGTCAGCTTAAGCAGCTCAAAACCAATAAAGCCATTGGCCTAGATAATATCAGTGCTCGTCTACTGAAAGATTCAGCCTCAGTAATCAGTGCCAGTCTTACTAGATTATTTAATCTTTCCCTGGGAAACTCGCACCTTTCCTTCTCTTTGGAAATTTGGAAAAGTGGCAGCGTTATTCAAGAAAGGTGATCGCTGTGATGCTAACAATTACAGACCCATTACTGTGCTGCCAACGATCAGTAAAATTCTAGAAAAAGCCGTGCACACCCAACTGTACGCTTATCTTAAAAACAATGGTATCCTTACATCTAAGCAATTTGGGTTCAGGCCGAAGTTATCAACTGGAACAGCCCTATCTCATTTCACAGACAATATCCTCCAGAATATGGACGCTGGTTCCTTTACAGGTGCTGTTTTTCTGGACCTGTCTAAGGCCTTCGATACAGTGGATCATCCCCTGCTGCTGCAAAATTGACGCACATCGGTCTTACCACCTCTACCACCCAGTGGTTTAGATCGTACCTCACAAACAGATCTCAAATTACATCAGTTGGAGATGCTCACTCTGCATCTACCGAAATGCCTATTGAGTACCCCAAGGAAGTATATTGGGACCTTTATTGTTTTTAATTTACGTGAATGATCTTCCGGACTGTCACCTGGCAAGCGATATTATTCTTTATGCAGACGATACTGTACTCTATTACTCATCCAAAAGCATCAGTGATCTTGAACATCACATCAATGCTGACTTGGGGACAGTGTCTGAGTGGTTCTCTAGAAATCTCCTGACACTAAATATATCCAAATGTAATTTTGTTATCTTTGGAAGTCCTCAGAAACTGAATCGTATTCAAGGCATTTCGGTTAAAGTAGAGGGCACTAGCATTGAAAGAACACAATCATTCAAATACCTAGGCGTAACGCTTCAACAGTCTATGTCCTGGGCAGATCACGTCGATGCTATCAGCATGAAGATTAATCAGAGAATAGGCCTAATTAGGAGAATCAGGAATCTATTGCCGCTACAAGCTAGAGTTGCCTTGTACAATGCCCTAATCCTCCCTTTTTGATTACGGAGACGTTATATGGGGGACAAAAACAATGACACCATCATGTCAGAATTACAGATTCTACAGAATAAAGCTGCTAAAGTTATGCTGGGGCAACCACCCCGAAGCTCGTCAACTGAAGCACTGAAAAGTCTAGATTTGAAGTCACTGTCCACAAGAAGGTTTTTTTCATCGCTGCATTGCAATCCACAAGTGTCTTATTGGAGAAACCGATTTCAGCTTTAATTTTACTAAAAGTCAAGCTGTTCATTCATATAATACAAGACGCTCTAATGATATTCGCTTACCCCTACCCAGAACAAACTGGGGTAAACAAACTTTTATTTTTCACGCCGCGAAAGACTGGAACAGCCTTCCAAATGATTTAAAAGAGTGTAATATTTTATCTATTTTTAAATCCAAGTTAAAAACTTTTTTAAAAGATCTCAGCTAATTTTAAACCTTGATGTTTTTTTGTATAATCGATTTTAAGATTTTAAATTTTTAAATTTGTTTTACTTGTAAACATGTTTTACTTTTTTCGTAATTATTAATTAATTTAGTTAGATTAATGCATGAGGGCCCCACTGAAAACCGCCTTGGCGAGTTGGGCTCCCTCTATAAATATTATTATTATTATTATTATTATTATTAAGTGTTCACTAGTCACAATGGGCGGTGAGTACTTTCAAAACATGAATTATCTCACTCAAACCGATTTACTGCACTGTTGGGAACTCAACACACAACATCGCAGAGATAAGTTAATCATGACTTTTTATATATTATCTAGCCGGTTGAAATAACTACTGCAGCAGATTCCGAGGTAGAATAAAAGAAAAATATTTTATTTCTTGGTTAATTATTAACAAACCTTAACCCATAACTCTAAAACGAACGTCTTTTAGTACTAAGTTCAGAGAACATTGGACACCTCTATTCGGAGGAAACAGGTTCAACTGTACTCTGAAGTTAGTACTAGACGTCCGACGTTGGTTTGAGAGTTATGAGGAAATCTACAGAACTGAAGAAAAGCACTACAGTTTTCGTTACCGATTGTGCCGCACTGCGCACTGCCGTGTTTCTGTAACTGGTCAAAAGAAGTCGAGGGAAATTTGCCACCGACAGAAGTCAGTGAGAGCGCTTCCAAATCTTCAGACATGAGTGAGTTGTCCAAACCTGAGTGAAAGAAATGTTTTCATCACAAGTTAGATGATAAGGCGATTCCATAAACTGTTCTCCCCTCTTTCCCTTCCTGTCTTCTTATACCTCCCTTCTTCGAGCATTTGTCGAGTTTCGCGTTCCTTCTTATGACTGTTATAACGAACGCTCCCACGAGGAAGGCTATTTTAACATTTTTCCAAGATAGGATACACAATTTAAGCAAGAAGTTGAAAAATATTCGGGCGTTACCATTGCCCTCTATCCCACCATCAAGCCCTCTCTTGTCCGTTGTCTTCAAGGATGCACGCTAGGGCCCTTCAGAAGCTTGCAAGTAAGATACAGCTTTCGTAAGGAGTTTATTGGAAACAGAAGAATCCCCGAACGAAAAAGCACCGAGTAATATTAAGTGTCACTCGCCAAACGTGTACTTGGTATTATTTTTGGAAATCATGCGTTGCGCTGGCCTTTTAATTAGATTATTCAGTTATGTATACGTAGTAGTGGATAACTGAATTAACTGAAGGGTGCTCTGATATTCAGAATTAACTGTAGGCCCCAAGCCAGTAAGACGGATAGACACTGATTACATTGTATAATAGTATCGAAAATTTGTTTAAAAATTGACCGTTGGACGCAGCAAAGCAAAGGATTGATTAAACTTTAATAGGGTGGGATAAACAGACACAAACAATAAACAATGAATCAAACTTACCACCAAAACTTTTTACTTCTGGTAAACAAGCGCCGCCAGCTGAGTAATCGGAAAAGGTCACAAAGTCATTACTGTCCAGAGCAACAGCTTCTGAACCCCATTTGTACACTAGACGGAGTCTTAGGACCTTTTCTTTGGTGAAGTCAATACAACGCATTGAAAGGTAACACTGAGAGACCTCAGAGTGGCTCAAGTCCACCTTGTCTTCACTCAGTTCTCGTTTGAAGATCTGTATCAATTCTGATAGCTTCTCCTTTTGTGAAGCATACAGAACTATTTGAAGATTTCCCGAATGCGTGTTTTTGGCTTCCATTTTCATTACCGCAATGTCAGCTGTAGCGAAGCGACTCATGCATCTGTTAAATGCATCCATGCCAGATTGATTCAGCATAATAACTGACTGAATGCTCCTTTCTTGCAAATTGACCCATCAATGTGCACACATGCAGCCGCACCCAGTTGAAGCTCATCCTCCGATTCTTTCTTGATAATGAACCTTTGAGAGTATGTGCCGTCATACTCGTCGTGCTCCACGTTGTCAACATCAGACGAGTTACAAGACAATGGGGAGTTTTTCGAATCAACCAGTTCAAATCTCACCAGTTTCGATGGATCAAACTTGGCGAAATCAAGTAGCTCTCTTATTACGTTGGAAAAATCTTGCATGAAATCTTCGTCTACCCCCTTGTCATCGGTTAACAATGTGTCTCGTAGGCTGCAACAAAAAAGGTCTAATCTCTTACACAGCTTAATGTCGGCCTCGCAGTCCTGGAAAAACCTTGCTAGAAAATTAAGCATTTGGTCAATGGCTAGACGTTCGCTCCACTTCGTAATTTCAGCGGCTGACGTCTGGTTGCGATTCTCAAGGCACAACATCTCAAGAATTTGGCACTCCACATACACAAGTTCTTTGAATCTGCTGTACTGTTGGGCATTCGAAACGCTTGACAAAAATCGATTGATATCTTTCTCAGGAAGACCCTTCAAGCCATTTTGCGGCACTAACCTATCACGGTCAACGAAAATTTCCTTGATGTCTTGAATGAGGTGAGGAACAATGGCCAGGAAAATTCTGGTGTTCGGTTCTTTAGAAAATGAACATACTCGTTGATAGTTTTTCGCAATTTCATCAGATAGTTGTTGACGTTTGATGAAATGTTCGATCAAATAATCTGTTTGATTAGAAGACGAGGCGGTTCTTTCCACATCCTCAGGAGAAATTCCTAATTCGATACCACAATCTCTTAACACAGAGTTACAGAGTGTTGTAGCTTTACAGGAAAAATTCTTCACTATATCGGTGTTGATGCCCTGTAAACCGGTTATCTTCAAGGCAAGCTGTCTCAGATGGCTGATATGCATCTGGCCCCTTGGTGTAACTCTGTATTCTGGTGACAAAAAATATCAGAGCATAAATTATTCTCTTAACCACTCTCCCAACAAACGAAATAACCGTCAAATTCTAATAAGGTAGTAATCTGTCGTTTGTGAAGGCTGTTAAGCTTTGTCAGTTTACTTCCTTACGTTGCCAGTGGCTCATTTCCGATTTTCTTGGCATAGGCGGTGTAAACCCTTTTCCCCACCCATTTACTCTACCCACACAACGTTTTTTAGTGAAGCCAGCGAAGGCGGATACCGACCAACCGTTCCATCTTTTTTAACAAAATATATAGTAGTTTAAAGAATGTAAAAGTGGCTAATCGCTATGGAAGGTAGAGACCTTAAGGTAGCTCCGTTGTTACTATAGGCTGAGGCGCGGCATTGAATTATGACATACTATATCCAATAACTTTTTTTTGGTTTTAACGCGATGTCTAATAAAATTTCAGAGGAGCTACAGCTATCGGCAGTAATAATGCGAAAAAATTCGATTTAACTGGTGATAAATATTTTTTTTACGTTCTGCCAAATGAAGAAAATAAAGAAGGCGGAAAAAGACTGGGATGAAAAACTAGGAGTAAAAATAGTTTTCAACATCTTATGCCTCTACCACTCAACAATAACGCGCTTTAAATTTTATGCCGAGTAGGAAATTAAAAGATTCATCGCGCCATAATTACTGATAATAACGACACAAAGCCGCCTGAAGCACAACTAACCTTCGCGAGTTAAGCCCTCCAGAAGACTTCTGTAAGAAGAAAGATTTTCTGCGTCAGCACTCTCTTCCGACCATGGCTGTAAAATTAGTTTCAACTGCTCATCGTCGTCCTTCCAACTTTTCATCATTTCATTTATTGACTCTTTAGGAACCTTAAGAGTCTCAGCAATAGTTACGACGTTAAATGCGGTGTCCTGTTCCAACCCCAGTAGCCTTCTTAAATAATTACAAGGATCTGTTGAAGAAGCACGAATTCATACATGTTGTTACATTTATAACGAAAGGTCTTTAACTCAGGAGCCTTTATTTACTTCTTTATACCAAACTAAAGAACAAAGTGAGTTTTACTCATGGGACTGGTTGGAAGGTACCAAAGTGTCGTGCGTACTGTATTTGCGGGTATTAAAGCCCTAAAATTCACGGAGTTGGCTTACTTATCTGGCCCTCTTTAACACAGTAAAGATGAAGAAAAACACTAATGACATGTCAGAACCAGGAACTTATATGGCCTAGGTGGTCAAGCATGGTGTCACATGTGCCATACAAAATGCCCTAAATAAAAGAGAGAAGTTTACTTTTGGTTTAACATCTGGCTTTCTTTAAACTGCCTAAAAGGTCTCGAGTGCGGTCTTGAACAAATATCTTCCCCCCCCCCTCCAGACACACACACACCCAAATTCACCATTCTTTCACTCTATGTGTTTAAGGTTGATGTTGTAGCAATGACAAAAACCAGACTACATCAGTCATCAACAAATGGCCAAACTTTAGGGCGTTAACCAAACTGACATAGGCTTTTTTAAAGGGTTTTCGCTTCAAAATCCATCAACTGAATGCATATTATCTAGGAATTGTCTGCCCGGACATTGAAATTCTTATTCATTTAGGAATGGTCTGGCCGGCCAGTTCTGACCAATAGTAAGCGCCCTTAGTTTAACTCTAACCAGACTGGCTTTTTTATTTTTGCTTCCTGTGACCACGGGAAACTTCGGAGACGCTCCCTAACAGTAACTTCAAAACCGCTCATGATACGGCCACCAAAATTATACAGCGGTTATAGCTCGAACGGTTTTTAAGCTATTCGATTTGTAAAGTTTTTAGTAAGGAGGGCTTCAAAAGTCCAACTCCCCGGTCTGAATAGCGTTGCAGAAAAGACATACCACTGTCGTGGACCTGATCTATGACACCATGGGCATAATTCTAGGTTGAGTATGCTATAGCTACACACATTTACCTCCTTCGCTAAAATGCCTCTTGCTCTCATGCCCATTTTCTCCTTGTACACTGATTGTCCCACACAGACATCGCACTTCGCTTTTCCATTCCAGAGGAAGTTTGATCACCTTTCCTCCACTCCACCAAACAGAAGAATCTACACTGAAACTAATTATTCTGTCCTGGCAGTCAGCTAGCTTGTAGTCTTCCCCGAGTTGAATGCTCACTTGAAGGTTTTCATGGTTGTAGATTCGCTTTTCATCGAATCCGTCAGCGGAACGCAAGTGGACCTCCAAAAAACCTTCCTTCTTGAGCTGTACTAGGGCTGAGGTCTCGTTCTCTCTGTAGAATTGTTCATGACAGAGGTCTTGGCTCACGAACAGTAGAGCAAGCACATCGTGGACTGAAGAGGGAATGTTCTTGTTCAACAACACGACTAACGTATACTTAAACGACAGTAAATCGAACCTGGACAGAATGTCTTTAGCGCAGATCAACGTCCAACGTAACAGAACCAAAATGAGTGAGAAATTCTCCAATTCAATGACTACTTCTGCGGTTGCCTGATTGATCTTTGAGTTTCGAGTGACGTCTTGCCATGTGATCTTTCCATCTCTAGCCTCTGCGCCATGCAAAATGAAAACATCGTCTCTCTTGAAACGCTTGATTTTGAGTGCAGTTGTCAACGTAAGGGGTTTCTTAAAGAAATGGCCATTGGGCTGAAGATTTACGATTGGTGCAGCTATCATGACATCATTTTCAAGATCCTTTGAGGCGATCATACAATAGTAATTTGACGGATCCTCTAATGTTATCTTTACAGACAAGGAATCGTCAACAGCTCCAGTGGGGCAAACCAACCTGACATTCTTTCCAGCCACTATACCTCCTTCACTGGTAATGACGTCTTCGATGTTTGCCGCCTTGAGGTCACCTTGTTGTAAAAACACAAAAATAAAACAAACTCACTTAGCTGTTGGAGGGCAGGTCAATTGTGAGTTCATATTCAAAGTATAATTTGTTTACCATTTGTAAAAGGGTGAATCAGGACACTGACGCTAAATACGGACACCCGTATTTGACGGACGGTTCGTTTGTCCCCGCGAAAAGCTCAATATATTTACTATATTAACATTTTTTATACGGCTGAGGTTAATACGGACATCGGACACTTTTCTGTAACCCAAGTCACCAACTCTCGTCTATCCGTTGTCAACCTCGCTTTACAAACACTAGAAACACTGGCTTATCAAATGAAGAATGATCCTCGCAGTTGTGCAAGTAATATATGCAATTGCAATTGCGTAAGAAGCAGGACTTCTACTGGATTTGAACACGTGACCTCGCGATAACGGTGGATGCTCTTTTAAACTCAACTATGAAGCCACTTATGCAGGGAGCTGGTCAATTATGTTTTCATATGTTCCCGAGAAAGAGATGAATGTGACAAATGTATATGAAATAAATCATATAAGAACTGCGGAAATGAAATCAAATGAAGAATGATTCTCGCAGTTGTGGACGCAATTTATACAATTGCGTAAAAACCTTAAAAAAATTCAGGACTTCAACGGGCTTTGAGCCCGTCGTGACCTCGCGATACCGGTGCGATGGTCTAACCAACTAAGCTATGAAACCACTGATGTTGCGAGCTGGTCAGTTATGTGTTGAACTGTTCCCGTGAAAGAGATGAATGTGACAAATGTATATGAAATAAATCATATGTAAGAACTGCGGAAATGAAATCAAAAGAGGAATGATCTTCTACGCAATTGCATAAACTGCGTTCAACTGCAAGGATCATTACTTATCCCTTTCTCTTCAGTTTCGTTCCCTGTCGTAAACATGAACTCAACTTTACTTCTGAAGACATCAGGGGTCAATTTAATAAAACTTTTACAAGTGTAGCCATTGTTTTAGAGTCTGAAAACAATAGCTACATTTGTACATTACCCTTGTAGAGTTTCATTAAATTGATCCCAGATTTTCAGACAATATCTCTTGCTCATGCGGACTCTAATACCACCACAATTCGCTTTACCTAGTATGCTAGGTTTTGTCATTAACTCAAGATTAACCTTATTAACCTTGCGTAGCTAATCGACTATTCTCGTGACGTCTTTCAAGCGACCTACCTTTAAGTTCAGTTGTAGCCTTTAAGTGGCGTTCACAGTAGTCCATGGCTGTTTTGAAATCTCCCAGACTGCGATGTGTGTCGGCGAGGTTCTCGTACGAACTTTCCTCTTGGGACTTGTTTCCAACTGCATTTGCGACTTTTTGCTGGCATTTAAAGTGGCATATGGCCTTTCTAAATTCTCCAAGACAAAAATTGACGTTGCCAAGATTTTCATTCGCACTTCCCTCTTGCCACTTATGCCCAACTTCTTTCGCAATAGTCAGTTGCTGATCAAAGTGGCTTAAGCCCTCTGAAATATCTCCGACACCGTAAAAAGCCTTTCCAAGATTTCCATGTGCGCCTCCTTCTTGCAACCTGTCTCCTAATTCTTTCGCGATTAGTAATTGAAGATTAAAGTAAAGGATGGACTTATCAAAATCCCCGAGACTTAGATAGGCGTTGCCAAGACTTTCGTAGGAACTACTTTCCTCTGATCTGTTTCCCAATTTTTTCGCTACTTGTTTACGGCGCACATGATAATCTATAGATTTTTCGAAAAACCCATGATTGTGATAGACGTTTCCAAGACACCTATACACGCTTCCTTCTTGAGCCATGTCTCTCAAATTTAACACAGTCTCTAGTTCACGTTCAAGGAGGTCTACAGCCTTTTCCTTTACATAGGAGGAGCCAAGATTTCTAAGCGAGCGCAACAGGTGTGACCCCTTTGAGAGGTTTTTCGCAATTTCGAGTAGACGTTCATGGCAGTCTTCGGCCATTTTGAAATTACCAAGACTTGCATAGGAAATGCCAAGATTACGGTACGCACATCCCGCTTGTGACTTGTTTTCCAATTCTCTCGCGATTTCAAGTTGACTTTCGAAGAAGTCTATGGCCATTTTAAAATCTCCACGACTTGCATATGAGATGCCAAGATTCCCATACGCGATTCCCTCTTGTGATCTGTTCCCCACTGTTTTCGCAATTTCAAGTTGGCGTTCCAGGCAGTCTGCTGCCTTTATAAAATTTCCGAGACTTGTATAAGAGATACCAAGATTTCCATACGCAATTCCCTCTTGTGATCTGTAAGATGATTCTTTTGCGATTTGAAGGTGACGTTCAAGGTGTTCTATGGCCTTTTTAAATTCCCCGACACTGGCATAATAGATGCCAAGATCCCCATAGGCGTTTCCCTCTTGTGACTTGTCTGGTAATACTTTCGCGATTTCAAGGTGGAATATGGCCTCTTTACGATTCTTGGCATGGTAGATGCAAAGATTCGCAGAACGGTTACGCAGTTGTGATAACTTTAGTGATTGTTCCGCCATTTTAAGATGACGTTCAAGGTGGTCTATAGCCTCTTTACTATTCCTGATATTGGTATAGCAGATGCTAAGATACATGTACGCAATTGTTTCTTCTGACTTGTGTGATAATTCTTTCGCGATTTGAAGGTGACGGTCAAAGTACTGAATGGCCTTTTCATAATCCCCGACACTGGCACAGCAGAGGCCAAGATTCTTGTACGCTTTTTCTAATTTTTCAACTCGTGACCTGCGTGTTACACTTAATTCTTTCACGATTTGAAGGTGACTTTCAAGGTGGTCAATGGCGTTTTTATAATCACCGACACTGGCATAGCAGATGCCGAGAGCCTCATGCGCGTTTTCCTCTCGTGACCTGTCTTTTAATGTTTTCGCGAATAGAAGGTGAAGTTTAAGGTAGTTTATAGCCTTTTCACACTCCCCGACACTGGCGTAGCAGATGCCAAGATTCAAATACGCGTTTCCTTCTTGCGAAAAGTCTTTTAAGTCTTTCGCCTCTTGAAGGTGATCTTCAAGGTATCCTATGGCGGTATTAAATAGTCCGACACTGGCATAGCAGATACCAAGAATTCTATACGCGTGTCCCTCTTGTGACCTGTCTGATGATGTTCCCTTGCTTAGAAGGTGGCTTTCAAGGTCGTCTATGGCTAAACTTAAATTCCCGATACTGGCATAGTAGATGCCACGATCCAAATACGCCTTTTGTTCTTGTGACCTGTCTGCTAATAGGTCATCTATGAACACTCTACGACGCGGGTACAATAGGCTGAACCTTCCAGTTTGGACGCTGTAACCCCTGCACGCTCTTCCCAGTAGGTAATGTGGAAGTACATGGTTTCTTTTCCAGTAATCGAAATCAAATTGCAGGGCAAAGCTGATGCCGAGTTTTTCAAACGTTTCGCCTTCTTGTATAATGTGTGTTAGTTCTGTCACCAGCTGGGGTTCGCAGACAGGCAAACTGACAATTGGTATGTGGATGGTAGGCATCAACAACGGGGATGTAATGTTCTGACAGTGGTCAAGGATGGGGAAAATAATTAGCGGTGAATGGAGTCTCGATAAAAGAAAGTTACTAAACAAAACTTACTTATTTGTCAGTGTTGCTCTGCTAATCTAGATACATTAAATGAAAGAAGGTTGAAGGACATACTATTTCTGATGTACAAGGTTAAGCACCAAATGGCGCCAGGTTACTTTGAAAACATTGTCAAAAGAAATGATTTAAAGCCATACAGCCTCCGAAACTCAGACTTTATCCTTCCAAGATACAATACTGTAAAGTATGGAAGGCATTCCATCAGATACTTGGGCCCATTGTTATGGTCCAAGTTGTCCAGCTCTGAGAGAAATGCACCAACTCTGAAAGACTTCAAACGAATGATAAACTGTAGAGATATCTCCGCATTGGACAACAGTAGCTGTGCCTCTTGCTATTTATGTAATACCTAATATGATATGTAAATTTTCGTGATAAATGTTTTTAAATTTTATATGATTAATTTGATATAAATTGTACATATTTTTTAGGAATTTTAGATTCTTAAGTCTTAATTATGATAATTTTACTTTATTTTAATTAGCTTTGTTTTAGTGTCCCCAATTAGTACTGTAATGTACTAGAATTTTATGACACTTAAATAAAGGTTTCATCATCATCATCATCTGCACACCATCCTACACATTATATATTTTCATTTTCATGTCTGTTTAAGTTGGTTTAGATCTGCCAGGTGGCCGAACAGCGCTGTCAAGTGATAACCCGTTTTAACTCAGATGGACATGGATTTCTTACTCCATGGTGTCACGCTTCGTTTAGTAACTTCCTTTGCTGAAGAATGTATTCGCTCTCAGAAACGTCTGTTTTCATCAACACTGGAAACAACATGCCATGGCAAGGGCGTTCCGAACGAACCAAAATTTCGCCCGGAAAAGCTCTCGAAAACGATTTAAACCTGTATTTCTCAAAACGCGTAAAATCAAAGATCGCAAATTTAATTCACTAAACGTTTCACCCGATAATTTCAGGGTGGGTGTCACATGCTCACCCCTCCCGAAAAGTTTCGGGATATTTTTCGAAAAAAATGGTTGCTTTTTTGGAATCTTAGCTGACCGTGAATAGAAAAAGATACATTGACTGAACTCATTTTAAACTAAACGAACATATTAAACTGGAGAATTGCAAAGTAAAAAACTTAAGTGAAAACAGCCTAAAAACAGCATAAAAGCACATAAAATTTACAAAAGAAGGAAAAGCGAAATCTAATAAAAACAGCTCCCACTTTAAAATAATTTCGGACAGTTTGTTTAAAGACGATTTCATTTCCTTTATAACCTTCCTAAAGGAGATCCCTGGCACCTCCATACTCTCCTCCACCACATCTTCTTCCTTATTTAAACCCAAATAGATGATTACAGTCTAATCAACCTGTTAAGATCAAGTAAAGGATACTTCCTCTTCCGTGTCCCAATCCTTGATAGCGCTAGCAGTTGCTCCTGAAAAAGAATGTAAACCAAACTTTTACGTCTTTTTGCAGTTATTCTTCCCATCATTGTATGTTAGTGGCTCCGGTTAGTGGACTAACTTGTGGTAAAAATGCAGTTACAATAAATATCGAGGATAATTTTTTGAGGCTGAGCTTTGCCCATTTATTGTGCTTACAAGGTTTCGCACAACAAGTGTATTTTTTGGCAGGGACCCGTTTTTCAAGCCAGCGAAGGCAAGCACAAAGCAAGCGAGGTGCACCAGACACGCGCAGCGGGGGAGGGCGCTCCACACCCGCCTCGCGCTTTCCTTCGCTCGCCTGAAAAACGCGAAAAAAACGCCTGTTTCGCAGGCTAAAAAATTAGGTGCTTTTCAGCCAAATTTCTAAGTAATTGTCAAGAAATAAGCAGATAAGAACTGACCAAAATGATTTTTAAGGACGAAATTGTCACAAAACGTCTTTTTTGGGTAAATAAAATGAAATTTACAATTAAAAAGGCAAAATTCGATCATGTGGCCGGTACAAATTGATATTTCTCGTTAGCAGTAAACGTGATTCTAAAGCTATGTTCACACTATACAGGAAAGCTTTTCGAGCCTACACGAAAAGCTATCCAGTATAGTTCGATCACCTCCTGTCCGATATGTGACTCTCCTGTGCGCGCGGCTTAGCTTCTCTCCGTTACAGAAATCGCGCCAAAATCACCGTTCTTGTGTGTGAACAGAAGCCCTATCCTTTTTCGTGTCAGCGCAAAAGCTAGAGCGATTTTCGTATGACCTTGAAAAATGGTTTCCATGAGTGTTTGTTATTTGTTTTAGCGGCCAATGGATGAAAAGAACAAAACATGGACTCTTCGTTTTCCCGCCAAAGAAAACCCTAATATGGAGAAGGCATTGTTCGCTTGACCAATCGTGTTGCAGTATGACGTCAAAGCAATTTCTAGAAAGTTCTTCGGGCATGACGTTTTTTCAACCGAGCGTTCGCTTAACCAACCAAAAGCCAGGTGCGTTTGTATCCGTTCGATAAACCAATCAAATCGCTTTATTTCCGTTCGTTTGCTGTTTTTGTTTTGTTCGCGCGTTTTCATTTCAAGGTCATACGAAAATCGCTCTATCCGTTATAGTGTGGACATAACCCAAAAGTCCCAAAACTCTTTAAAGCAGCATTTGTCGTTTAAGCGAGCATTCAGAAAGTATTTGTTTTGGAGAGCGTGGTGATACTAAAAGTAACAGTATACACTTCATGTCAGATCCCATGGGAAACACTTTTGTTTTCCCGACACGAAGTCGAGGGAAACATCAGGACTAGAGGGAAAACAAAACTAACTGGTTTCTCGAGGGACCTGACATTAAGTGTTTTGTTATATTTCCAGACTTTCACTTCAACAGCAACAAAAGAATAACCGGAGCGAACCAAAACAGTCGACTCGGTACTTATAACAACACAAATTTAATTCTCAAAACCACGCAATTATTGATTTACAAAGTACTGTCCTTATATTATCCGTATCTTTTTCCTCCCTTGGCTGCTGTTTTTCTTCTGGGAACTTCTTAGAGATATAACAAAACACTTATTGTTAGGTCACTCGGGAAACCAGTTAGTTTTGTTTTCCCGAGAGTCCTGAAGTTTCCCGAGACGCTCTAGACGCTTAAAAAACATACTGGTCGTCACTTCAAAGATGTAGGTCGTCAATTCAAAAATGTACCTCCTCACTTTAACGGTGTACCTCGTCACTTTAAAGGTGTACGTCATCATTTTAAACGTGTACCTTGCCACTTTAAAGGTGTACGTCTTCACTTAAAAGGTGTAGCACATCGATTTGTCCTAGTTACCGCGCCATACATGCTAAGCCTGTACTCCACATACAGCAAAGACATTACCTCAAGTGGTTGTGATGAGACGATGCAACTCCAACGATTAACGGTCAATTTTATCTAATCTCACCAACGACTGACCAGAAAAATTGTTATTTTTACCCAGAATCGTGGAAAATCCAGATGGTTCAGCTAACCGAGACGATTGTTCCCTACAATAACTGCCCCATAGTTTATAGGACTCGAAGAAGCCTCTGTTGGGCACAAAATACTGACAATTCCGCAGACTTTGAATTTTCCAGAGCTGCACTCGATGAATGGCAAATGTCGAATTGTCACTGAATTTTGGTCTAATTGTTTAAGAAAAGGATTCAGACCGAAACGGTTTTCTCCTCACCTGCAGAGGTATCTTCATCGTCTTTCCGTGTACCCTGCGAACTCTGCTCGAGTGCTTTCCATGTTTCTGCGGTCGCTGGTCCGCTACTTGCTGTACTTGCAACTTTCACTGGTTTCTTAAGCGACGAAACGGCTAGAATATAATAGCAGTTTTTAAATATTGTTTAACGTTCAAGTCATGCTTTACATCTGAAATCACTGAAGTCACATTCCGTGTAGCCTGCGATCATGCCCTCTCCCTTTGTCTCTATAATCTGTTTTCGGGAGGAGGGCAGTTATTTTTTTTTTCCTCTCGAGCTAAAGAAGCAAAAAAAAAAAAATAACGCCTGATCTCAGGTTACATTCCGTGCCTTTGACGACACAGCCAATACAATCAATAAATTCAAATGACACCAAGTTCTGTTGCCTGTAACAAGGCCGTTTGCATTAAGGCAAACGAAATCCTCCTCAAAAGTAAGTCAAGTACAGTTTGATATCTTTTAAAAACAAAAGATTTTTTCCTAACCTTTTGACGTTTTTAAGTCACCTTCCTGAGATTCTTCAGTCATGGGTCTGACGTCACCTCCACTTGCAGCTTCCACCGGACTCGACATAATAACCACTGAAACTGGAATACACAGTTTTTTAAAATTCTAGTCTACCATGACACCTTTGAAAAAGTACTGCTTAACCACAGAATAGCGACATCTTTCCATCACCGCTGAATACCACGGGAATGGAAAGATTAGGAATTGCGTTCGCGTTGAATGTTATTAAGGACTTTAAAATTCAAAGACGTGGACGGCAACGAGAACGTCAAAAACAATAGGTTTAATAAACAAAAACAACAACTTCGCACGTGCATCACACTTTTCTGTACATTTCTTTGTCCCTTTTGCACGACTAAGACGCGAAAATGCGAGGGTATCCGCTTAATAGGGCGTGTCCGCTTAATGCAGGTTTCACTGTATTTCTCTTTCTGAACTTGGATATGGTCCCTTGGAATTCAACTTCAGGAGGATTCGCCTACATTTGACAAAGTAAATGGGTAGAACTAATTCCCATAAGACTGAAAGAAAGCAACATCTCTTTAGGTCACGTTCTAGTCACCGTCGCGTCGTTGGATCTTGGGCCTAGGCTAGCCTCGTCCGCAGGCAACTCCGGTTACACTGACCGTAAGGAGTCTGAGGACGAGAATGGTAGAAAAAATGGCTCAGTTACCTGCCAAAAATCGAAGAGTAGTATGGCGGCTTTACTTACAGAATTAAAACGATTTTTCCTACAAGCACCAAATTTTGTAGGAATATTAACATTCCCAGGCTGGTCATTTCCTGCCTGATATAGTGCCAAGTTAAATTTTCTAATTTTAGCTTAACAGCAGCGAATGAAATTTTCAGACCCGAGACCCCCCGCGAAACAATTTAATGAACGTCTTATTTCAAAATATAGGCAACACAATACAGATGTTAATTTGGATGCGAATTGTTACAATTGTCATTTCTTCATTATATAAATAAAGGTCAGAATTTGGAATTTATCTGCACAAGCTTTTTGTCTTCTTTCTCTTGGTTCGGATAGTAAGAGTTTGCACTCTCATTCTAGATGTGCATGCGACTCCGTGCAGCTAGAAAAGAAACTATTCGACGCAATTTAAAGAGAAAAGGTTAATTCGAAGACGCAGGAAACAGCTATTGACTGGTTAAACATGTTATTTGCCAAAAGGAAACAACTAAAAAACCTCAGTGTCCTGTTAACTGGAGACGGCACGACTCTGGTGTTGGACACTTTACTTTTGAAAAAAAAATTAAGGTCATTTTATGAGACGCACGGGGGAATTAAATTTCGCAGTTGACTGGAAATGTTTTGACATGGGAAATGAAATTGCTTCCACTTTAGCAAGTCATTCGCTATGTGGCTTAGATACGATGAGTTCAACAGGATGAAAATGGATCGCATGTTGAAAATAAAAATCCCTGTAGGAATTCACAGAGCAAACGGATACGCACGAGTATGTTTCTTTTCGCAAGGAGAAGAAGCATGCATGAAAATGATACTTCATTTAGCTGATGCAGTAGAAAATGATAACTTATTTAGCTAATTTAGACTTGAAAGAAATTTGAACGTCATATGGGACGAAAAAATCTACAACGTCCTACCCAGTTATCTCTTTGCAAGGTCTTTGTCCCATCTAAATCGAAGTTTCTCCTTGTCTTCCATGCCCTGATCATGGAATTGCCAAAATACTGAAGATTTTTGCCTTTTTTTCTCTCATTGAAAGGAAGCATTGTCGTTATTGAAACCATGAAATAAAATATTGGGGCCACCGCACTTGTCTTTGCGGTAGAGCTGAAGAAAGGGCACACCACCTGCATTTATTAGATTTTTGAGCAAGGACTGGGGCGAGTTTTAAAACAGCATGTACATGCAAAAAAGCATTGAAAAAACACGATTTTATGAAATTTACATCGAGATAAAGCAATTAGGTTAATGTGATAAAGATGAAGCTTGAATGTCATTAAAAGTGGGTCAGCACAACATCGACTTATCGAAGGCCTTGGTGAGGACGGTACGTTGAACTAAAAACACGTGTACCGCTTACGTTATGCACATTTTTAACACTTTGAGACTCATCTCGACCAGAAAAAAACTGCTGTGAAAATTCCATTAATGTCTCTCTTTGATTATTGTTTCTGCAGAAGCTAAAAAACTTTTTTTCACAGGGGCCATCGTCATATGAGTAGTGAGAGGTGCACAGTGCAAACCTAGAGAAGCGCTAAATCGGCGGACACTTTATTGCCAAACCGTTTGCTGTAATAAACTTCTTTTTTTTTAAGGTAAAATACTTCAGTTAACACATCATGTCGATGTTCCCATCAATACAGTACACCAGATAGGATGAACTGCGGTCAACGATTTTCGACTATTTTGACAACAATCGAGTTATGCAGAGAGCAGTTTTTGGTTACTTAACGTATCGTGAGCGACTTTTCGAGATTTCTCAGTGTTTTCATGGACATAGTCGGCAGAATAACGGCTTTGTGAAGTTTAGAGATGTTTAGTTTGACGATGCTAGTGTCCTGTTTTATTTCTGTAGTATCCTATTCAAAAAAGGTGTATCTTTTAATGAAGTAACATTATTATTCATTCAAAATATTTCTCTGTTTCTGACTGGCTAAAAGCACACGCTTAATTCCCCATAACCAGCTACTGTTGACCAAATTTGGAAGAATTTTGCGATTAATCAACCGACGACGTCAAAAGTGTAGCACAGTTGCAGGTTAATGCACCGTTAACCGACAAGACCTGGGGACGAGGTTGAGTTGTTTTGGTGTGTGAAAAGAAAAATGGCCGAACAGTTTGCGGAACATTTTACTCGTTTCAGGACGAACTATTGTCTAAAAACATAGAAAGAAGACAACTCGACGGGCAGCATCTGCTATTTGGGGTATATTTGCAGACCTGAACAGCCCTTTATCTTTTAAACATGCACTATCGAGGTGAACTTAACATCGACGAAGGTAAGCATGTTTTAGCTTGTTTTTAAACTAGGAATTATTTTGAATGAATAATAAAGCAATTAATGAATTCGGGCTTTCGTAGCATATATAACAATTATTCACCGAAGTGAAGGTGGCTAGTATTGGATATATACCGAGGCCGCGAAGCGGCGAGGTAAATATCCAATACTAGCCACCGACACTGAGGTAAATAATTGTTTTAGTATATACTAAAACAGTTAGATAATTGAGCACAAAATGATGATTTTTAACTCATTTACTGTTGCCAACGATTACAATTTTGGCGCGCGATGACCGAACGGCCGCGGTCGTCGCTTTTTCTTAGCGACAAATAAAACTTTTGAAGGCGTTTGTTTAGCTCTTGCGGAGAAGTTTCTTCAAAAGGAATTGTGAATTTTGTTTGTATTTAAAATAATTCTGTAAAAAGGATTATTAAATGTAGTTTTAAGCTTATTTATGAACAAGTCAACTAAATAAAGTAATGCAAGACTTAAGCTTAATTTGCATTTGTAAACAAAAAACTTTTTCACCGGTTTTATCGATAACTATTCAAGTCAAAAAGACGAAGCTTTACCTGTTAAAACTTCCAAAACGAAATTTGTCACCTTCTTCATGTATTTCGGAAATAGCTTGCCTGATTAGTTGTGAAATTTCTTAGTTTGTTACGGCAGCAAACCGGGAAGGCATTTTGCTCGCAATCTACGCGAGTTTGGCGTCGCTCGCTCGGAGGAACTGGAGGAGAATCAGTGAATAGTGCCGGATATTCACTGATTGAGTAGCCAATCAGAGCGCCCGAAAACACTATCCACTGTTTTAGTATATAATAAAAAGAATTATGTAGATCTCGGAGGGCGTTATCCACCTCGGCCGATAGCACCCTCCTCGATCTGCATAATTCTTCATATCCTACTCAACCTCATTCACTAATTGCTAATTAACCGCCTAATATGGACACCCCGTTCAAACGGACACTTTCGATGGCTCCTTCAGCGGCCGTATTAACGGGGTTTGAGTATATTTGCTTATTAGCGAATAAATAGAGGTGCAAAGATATCTGCATAGTTCCTCTCGGGTTTGCCTAACTGTCAAGAATTCTTCCAACGCCTCTCGTGTTTATATCAGACTATGCGAACACGGAAAACGTTTTCTAATTGCTTAAATACAGCACTGTAAACCAGGGTGCAGAGAGGTAGTGTGACAAATAGTTTCCTGGCTAAGAAAAGCAAGTGAAGGCAGTTGGAAGGGTCAAATCAGATTTGTTGGGATCCAAATTAAGTCTGACATCACCACCACCTCTCTACCAACATTGACACCGATGAAAAATGAATAGCGTATTTATTCGATTAACCGCCCTGGGCGCTTATTAAATTTTTGGACCTAGAGAGTGGGCTCTTATTCGAGGTGGGCGCTTATTCGAGGCTGGGCGCTTATTAATTTTTCACCATCTTCTGCAAGTGAAATATGTTTATTTTGCTCCCCAAAACAATAAATGCTAATAAGAAAACGCGAAGAAGTAACAAAGCAAGGTTTCTGTAAAATACTCTGAAGAAAACTCCTTCCTCGGGGAAGTCTCTTATTAGAATTTATTCACTCAAGTGGTTGGGGTGGGGGTGAGCGCT